AAATTCTCTTTCCAACAGGGACCCGACAGAAGAGCAAGAAGGAAGGAGAGGAAGCATTCAAGAAGGAAGGAGAGGAAGCATTCAAGAAGGGGAGAGTTCTACAGCAGAACATCTCAGTGGATCTACTAGAGAATCAATAAAGGAAGAAGGCAACCCCCAGGAATCTTCTACAAGTGGAACCAACAGGCCGAAAAGAAGAAGAAAGAAACCAAGGCATTTGGAAGACTACATCACAGACAGCGAGTCTGAATAGGGACTGTAAAGTCAAATAATATTGTATACACGAAAGTCGAACAAAAACAAAAATATTGTAAATTGTGATATTTTATTGTGTTATTGTTTTGTCATCTTTTTGGAAAATTTTAAATTGAAGGGATCCGACAGGTATTAGGTTTTAATTCATACAAAATGTGATAGATATATATGTATATATATAGAGAGAGTAGGAAAGTAAAATTGTAAAGCGTCACGCATAAGATTCAACAATTATTAGGTACAAACAAATCACAAGATTATAGGGTTCTTGGAAAGGATAACTAAAATTTTAAGTGTAGGGGTGTGACGTTGAGGTTTAGGGCGCACATGCGCAGAACATAAGATAGGTCACGACAGTAACATGAATAGGAAAATGAGCTCTCTTCTGTCGGGTCCACCAAGCAAGCAACATGATCAGATGTCTGTGATATTAGTAATAATAAAATCCGTATAGTGTACCACGATTAGTGTGTTTCATTGGAACAGAAATTACCGGGCATTAATTATGTAACTATTAATACGTTACAATAAAGATCAATCTTCTCTTCATTTCAAACCTTCAACATCCAAGCAAGAATCGAGGCATGCTTATTTAGCAGTCGACAGTAATGCAGCAGCAGAAAATGATAATAATTGGTACCTGGATTCTGGTGCAACTCGCCATATGAGTTCTCAGAAAGAAACATTCCAAAGCATCGATTCAAGTGAACATAAAATCAACGTTGAAACTGTTGATGGAAATTTAATTTTATCAGAAGGTATAGGCGATGTATCTTTAGATGTGAATATTCATGGCAGTTCTGAAGAAATCCTTGTCAAAGATACTTTATACATTCCCAATTTGAAGATGAACCTCTTATCTATTGGAAAAATTGCTGATAAAGGAAACGAACTATTTTTCAATGACAGAAAGTGTACCATAACGAACAAAAATACCAAAGAAACGATAGGAGTAGGTTCTAGAAGTAAAGATGGCCTGTACATATTGGACATTTTCAAAGAAAAAGTATGTATGACGAAAACTTCAAGTGATTATGATCTATGGCATCAACGCCTTGGTCATATCAGTCATAATGGATTGCAAAAACTACAGAAAGAATTAGTATCGGGATTACCTGCAAATATTTCATACAATGGAGACATATGTGAACGATGTATCATTGGAAAACGAACTAGAGCCTCATTTCCTAACAAAAAGGGGAAAAGAGCTAATGAAATACTGGGACTTGTGCATTCTGATCTATGCGGACCCATGGAAGTTAAATCTATTGGAAAAGCAAAATATTTTCTCACATTTATCGACGACAAGTCACGGGAAACTATTGTCTATTTTCTAAGTCAGAAAAGTGAAGTATTCAATTACTTCAAAAAATATAAATTGTCGGTTGAAGTTGAAACAGGAAAGAAAATCAAGGAACTGAGAACTGACAATGGTCGGGAGTATGTAAACAAATCAATGGAAGAATTTCTACAGCAAAATGGAATCTGTCATCAACTGTCAGCCCCATATACCCCCGAACAAAACGGTGTAGCTGAAAGGGCCAATCGTACTATAGTGGAACGAGTAAGATGCATTCTTGAAGGAGCAAACCTGGATAAATCATTTTGGGCAGAAGCTGTGAGCACCATAGTTTACCTCAAGAATCGTTCTCCAACAATTGCCCTGAATAATTCTACCCCTGAGGAAGTTTGGAGCGGAGAAAAGCCCGATGTGAGCAACTTACGAGTTTTCGGCTACAGAGCATTTGTTCAGATCCCAGATGTTAAAAGGAAAAAGTTAGACTCGAAATCTGAAGAGTGTATTTTTCTTGGATATGAGAAAAATACTAAGGCTTATAGACTGTTCAATGAAAGCCGCCAGAAAATCGTGATTTCAAGAAACGTTGTTTTTCTAGAAAATCAGATATCACCTTGTACACGTCCGAAGGAAGAAGAAAATGAAATATTGATTACTCATCAGAAACCAGAAGATCATGAAGCAGTGCGGAACGAAAGTGCAGAAATAGAAGCAGAACATGTTATTGCAGAAGAAAATACAAGAATAAGCGAGAGTATTGGTGAAGAGAAAGTAACAAGCTCAAGAAGAAATCGTAAGGTACCAACCTACCTGCGAGACTACATATGTTTAGCGAGTTCATCAAATGACTCCATTTATTCTGAACCGACGACATTGACAGAAGCTTTGGATAGTGACAGTTCTGAAAATTGGAAACAAGCTATAGTCCAGGAGCTGAGAGCCCATGAAATCAACAATACTTGGGAAGTTATAGAAAAGTTGCCGGAAGGACGAAAAGCAATCAAAAGCAAATGGGTCTTCAAGCTCAAGAAGGGAGCAGATGGTAAAATAGAGAGATACAAGGCAAGACTTGTAGCCGAAGGTTATTCTCAAGAAGAAGGGATAGATTTCGATGAAACATTTTCACCTGTTGTTCGACAATCTACCCTAAAAGCCCTTATTGCACTGGCAGCCGAGCTTGATCTTGAAATCGAATTGATGGACGTCGTGACTGCATATCTGAATTCTGAGTTATCAGAAGAAATATACATGGAATTACCAAAAATACCTGATACAGGGGAATCAAAAATCATTTGCCGATTGAAAAAAGCAATATATGGATTGAAGCAATCAGTTAATAAATAGTTGAAGAATATCTGTTTAAACATGCTACAGCTAGGATATAATTGGTCAGCTATTTATTATTATTCATTCCTGACTCGTGAGGTATCATTGATAATACGAGTGGACTCAAACTATAGCTTCATCTGGAATATCATATTTTCTTGTGAAATTCACGGATACAGAATCTGAGGGTATCGCAAATAATTTGGACTTGGATGAATCTGACTTGGAAATTTGTTTGTGGACGACAACCATGGTTGGGATGATCTAGACAACCCAATGGATGTTAGACTATTGGGAGCCAGTGAAAATGGAATGGTGGTTGGTAGTGACCTCTAGTGGATTTCATTTCGAGTGAGAGAAAGAGAAAATGGTGATGGAGGAATTTCGGCCCCCAACATGAAAAATATTTGCCATGTGTTGTACGATATACTTCGAACCCTGAGAATATTTTCGATCCATTCACTAACTCCAATAAAAACACTACATTTTGCCAAGATTCCGAATGTTTTGGTGGTTGGACACCATGGTATACCAATAGTTTCAGACATCTTATCAAGAAATCGTTTTTTCATCCTCCTAACGCGGATCAAACTTGTGGACCATGATTTTGTATCAAAAGAAGCTGCAATTTCATTGTCTGGGTCTAGACCTATGGTAAGTGATAACAACATTTTTGGAAGAATTATTCATCAAAAAAAATGTATTTATGGATATTAGTATTTTCAACCACCATAAGTCTCTATATTTCATTCGGCACCAATGAATTCACAATAGTTTCGTTTTGGGCCCAAGGCGGATAACTGACATAGTATAACAATTAACATCAATCTAAACGTAGATACGGAATCAACTAATGAAGTATAGAAACTCATTGAATTCTGTCTGGACTGAAATCTCCGTGGATTATCCAATAATGAATTCGAATTTATGAAAATACAACATAACGAACAATAATTTTATGTAATGAACATAAAAAAAGGTAGTATTAAGTTCCTGTAATATTTTTCCAGTTATTCTGATTACCTATACGATTAGATACATGCTGATTGTTATGGTAGGTCAGTTACACTCACAGTAACAAAAGGAACACTCTTTCTCCACTCCTAATACAAATTCATTCAAGTTTCAGGTTATGAGAGTAATCATGAAATATCACGACGAGCCTATCAAAGACAGCGATTATATCTTGCTCTCGGGAATATTCATTATATTTCCATTTCTGCTGATATTTTATTAAACAATTAGACGAAAAATCGGAATGATAATTCATTACAGAATAACTGAAATTGTGCCAGAATGTTTCTCAACAATTTCCTATAGTATTTTTCCCGTAGATAGATGACATGAGATTTTTGATAATTATTACACAGTGTGAGTTATGCCCACGATAACTAACCTAACCTGACCAATCGACAGCTAACAAATTATGTCTAGAAATTCTATGAGTTATTTCACTAAGTCAGAGTTCAGACCAGGATAGTTTGCGAATTACATCTACTGCAGACGAATTTAAAACCCTAGGATGAGAGAATGAGAGAGAAATACAGTGTACCTATGCCTCAGATCATTGACGATTCATTAGAAAAATGGGCGCATTCATCAGTAATTCGTTGAAAGTTATTCCATAGTTTCATGATATGCTCAGCTTTGAAATCATCGTAGGCATATTTTTGAAAAAGAAAAGAAAGAGCTAGTGTGTGTGTGTTTAAGGCGCCGGTATAACATTTCTCGAGCAAATTGGATAAGATAGATCAAATATCCGATGATGATAGGGGCTCATCCAGAAATATAGAGATTTTGATGATCGTGCTGAATGATTTTCTTGAAAGAATATAAATATGCATGACTATGCTAGTTTCACATTCGATCGAAACTAACCTTTTTGGTAGAGATTTGGTCAGAGCAACTTAACACTACAGTTAATTTAGAGTTGACTCAAAGTAAGTAGTTCGTTTTTGATGAACTAACATAAATATTTGCAGTGAATTATGTTTTGTTCACCACCATTTCCTATGATTGTTTTGCAGGAAAACACTATACTCAATATAACAATGATTTCTTATGAATTTATCAGACATTTCCAATAATCGGAATAAGGAAATATAGAATATACGAAACTCACCTATGATGTTGATATTTCTGTACGTTATTTGACTGATTTTTCCTCTGCCACCAGATGGCATTGTCAAAATATGTATACCGTTCAGGGAACCCCCAATGGAACAATCTTTGAAAGTAACGTTGTGAATATCATTATTTTCGTCAGTGTTAGAGAGCCCTGAACTGAAACTCAGACCATGAGATCCCCAGCAGTGGACGTTTCTGATAACTGCGTTGCTGCTTGCCATGATGTTTATACAGTCGTCTTGGTTAACAATGTTGGAGTTTTCGATGAGGATGTTGTCAGAATACACGAATCCCATCGCATCGGTGTTCTTGGCTAATCCACCCTAGAGTTGATTAAATAATTTCGATGAATAAATGTTTGATCACAATAATCAAAGTAGGTAGGTACTTAAATTAAATTATATTTTGTAGATGATATATCATAGAGAAAAGATTAAGTTTCAATCAATGTTCTCGATGAATGGTATGAATTTAAACGAAGTGAATGAATTGAAGAATCTACTTCGAGTATTTACTCCATCACAAAGCATCTAGTCGGTTCCGGTAGTGTCTGCACAACGTTGAAATATTTACTTGCAGAACGCGTTGTGCCTAAGTCATCATCAAAGCTACCACTTCAGTTTGGCACATTTGATTTCCATCTTCTCGGCATTAAAATAATTGACATGGAATTCAAAATGCTACGAATCAGGTAAAACTTTTCGCGTGGAATGAACCCTTTTTTTCCTTCGATAACCATCATAACATCATCGTGCTACTTCCTCTTCACTCTATACATTGTGATAATTTTTTCATTCTTGTTTGCATTCAAGCATACCGATAAGCTTTCCAAAAACACTTTCATTTGCTTTTCTTGACAAAATCTGAACTTTTTTCCACATCAGTTACCAAAACATTTGCGATGATACTAATTATTATCATTGACGTATCGTTTTGAACTGTATATTTTCGTCTGCGTATTTCATCCATCAGACCAACTTAGCCAAAGTCAAGCAAATAATACAATTACTTCTTGAATCGAAATATCTGCTGTCAGAAATCGGTACTTCAAAGTGTAGTAAATACTTTAGTAATTTCCACGAGAGTGCTATACTTGATATAGTAGCTTCTGGAAAAAATACAAGAATTTACTTCGAAATGTAGTTCCTTTTTAGTTCTGAAGTATCTACTTTGTATAAAATGCTGATACTTCCAGTATTAGCATGTACTTCATTTTTGTTTATACCAGGCACCCATTGAAATTCATTGATAGAGTAGGTACTACTAACGAGATTTTTTTTATTATTATTATAAAATTATCCGCATCAACCTCGAGGGTTATTAGCGGGGTACAGTGCAAATTATCAATTTCATTTTATGAATAAATCGGGCTATATTAGATACATTTTGTTTTCCTAGTGTCAGTATGTATCACAATCACTTTACTTTAAATATTTGGTTAAGTTCACTCTCTCTAGGAATTTTATAACTCGGTCTGGTTGTTTGTTCAGAATTTCTGCAAGATTTCTGGACATATTGCATTGGTTCCTTTGGTATTCGAGTGTAGGGCATTCCGATAATATATGTCGTACGGTTTGTGGAACGTTACAATTTTCACATTGGACTGGAGGTTCTCTCTTCATTAGATGCTGGTGTGTTAGACGAGTGTGTCCTATTTTGAGTCGTGTGAGAAGAATTTGGTTCTTGCGGTTTGTACCACTGTAGAGGTTGTTTTCTAAGGTGGGATTGATTTCGTACAGTTTGTTGTGACTGTGTAGGCGCCATCTATCCTTCCATTTATCTTTAGTTATTCGTTTTATTTCGTTATATAGATCTGAATGTGGTATGTTATTTACTTGTATAGATGTTGGGTTTTCTGGAACGGTGCGGGCTGCGGTATCTGCTAGCTCATTACCTAGTATGCCGCAATGCGATGGTACCCAGACAATCTCAACTACTCTTCCTCTTCGTTGAATTTCCTGTCGCACGTTTAATATTTTCTTGAGGATTGGATGTTTAGGATATATTTGTTTTATGCCTTCTATTGCACTCAGTGAATCCGTGAAAATGACTGTGCTACCATTGAGGTCTTTCGCAACGCTTAAAGCTTGTTTAATCGCGAGTACTTCCCCTGTGTAAATACTGCAACTTTTTGGTAGTGTATAGCAGTAGCTATTATTATTGATGATAACTGCAGCACCAACGTGTTTTTGTGTTTTCGAGGCATCAGTGTATATATGGTTGTAACCGGTGTACTTGTGGGATAGCTCGTTGAAAGCGCTTCGGATCACTGGAAGAGGAGTATCTATTTTTTGAAATCTGAGGAGTTCTGTGTTACAGTGAGGAATATTGATTGTCCAGGGAGGGGGTGTCTTGTTATTGATGGGATGGGTGGAATCAAAATTGAGGGTACTGGATATTTTTTGATTTCGTTTGTAGAAGGGTAGTGTGATGTTGTTATTAAGGTTGTAGATTGAATGGAATCTGTTAGAGAAGGTGTTTTGGAATGTTGGATTGTCCTTGTTGGCTGATATTCTAGCTGCATAATATGTAAGACTTAGATAGTCTCTTCTTATGCCTAGTGGAGGTTCTGCAGACGCCACGTACAAGCTCTCTACTGGGCTCGTGCGGTATGCTCCAAGGGCGATTCGTATAGCGGTGTTATGAATACTGTCCAGTTGTTTGAGTACTGATTTGCTTACGGTGCTGTATATTATTGATCCATAGTCGATTTTCGATCTGATTGTGGAACGATAAATACGCATCAAGGTAGTACTATCAGCACCCCAGGAGTGATTTGATAAAGTTTTCATGAGGTTCAGTCCATTCTGGCATTTACGTTTCACGTTTCTAATGTGTGCATTCCAAGATAATTTTTTATCAAAAATCATTCCCAGAAATATGATTTCGTCTACGAATTCTAGTTGTTGGCCATCAATCTGGATAATGGGTGTCATGTTCTCTGTTTTTTTGGAAAATAAAACACCTTTAGTTCTGCTTGTAGAAAAATGTAGTCCTGTATTTTGAGACCCAATTTATTTATGGCATTCTGTAGGAGTTTAGCAGACGAATGGACGTTTTTTCCGCTAGTGTAGATGACCAAGTCGTCCGCATATAGATTGGCTTTTATTGGAGCTTTGATATCCTTCAGTATATCGTTCATCGCTATCAGAAACAGCGTGGTGCTAAGACATGATCCTTGAGGAGTACCATTTGTTTGTGGTCTCATTCCAGATAGTTCGCCATTAGTTCGCACTTTGAAAGATCTATTGTTCAGAAAACTCTTGATAAATGTTAGTATCTTACCATTTATATTCCAGCTTTTCAGTCGTTTGAGTATATCGTGTTTCCAGACGGTGTCATATGCCCTATTGATGTCGAAAAACACTGCTAAAAGTTTTTGTCTATTTGCGAACGCTTCATGAATATCTGATTCAAGATTCACAAGATTGTCTACTGTGCTGCGGTTTCTTCGAAAACCGCTTTGTTGAGGAATAATCAGGTTGTTCTGTTCCAGGTGATGGGTAAGTCTGGCGTTCACTATTTTCTTCTTATCTTACACATAGTACAAGTGAGGGAAATCGGTCTATATGAGTGTGGGTCCAATTTGCTCTTATTATTCTTCAATATGGGCACTATTATAGCTGTAGACCATGTAGAGGGGAACTGCTTTTCTTCGAATATTTGGTTGAGGATCTTGAGCAAGACACGTTTGCCTATTGCTGGTAACTTCTGAAGGAATATATAAGGGATTGTGTCTGGGCCAGGACAGGAGGATTTGCATTTTGATAATGCGTCTTGTAACTCAGTCATTGTGATAGGGAAATTCAGTGGATTTTCGATATCTTCCAATATTTCAAATTCTTCTTGTTCGGCAACTTTCGTTCTTAAGAATTCATCGCTATAATTTGTGTCACTAGAGAGGCTTTCGAACACATCAGCAAAGATGTTTGCGATTTCTTGATTGTCCGCAACTATTGTGTCGTCGTCGAGTTTTAGAGATTTGATAATGTGACTCGAATTGCATCCTCTGATTTTCTTGACTTTGCTCCATATCTCAGACATGGGTGTAGATTGGTTTATGGTTGACACATAGTTTTCCCATGAGGTTTTCTTTGATTGTTTGAGTGTGTATCTCATTCGGGCTCTAACTTGTTTATAGTTGATTAAGTTCTCTGTTGTATGGTGTCTTTTCAATTTGTTGAATGCAATTTTCGTGAGTTTGGTTGTTTCCTGGCACTCTTTCTTCCACCATGGTACAGGGGTGCGTCCTTTTAGGGTGTTTGTTTCACCTATGGATTCAGTTGCCGCTTGGATAATAGTTTTCGTGAAATTGTCCACTAAGCTATTAATATCTTCATCTTGTCTGTTCGGTTCACTTATGGTTGATTCAATTATTTCGCTGAATTTGTTCCAGTCCTCGGTAGTAGCGTTGTGCACTTTCCATTTTTGGGGGATTGATGTTGATGTTCTTTTATAAAAATCTGTCTCGATAATGATGGGGAAGTGATCACTGTCATAAGTGTAAGGTAGTACCTCCCATGTTAGTGTGGGATGGAGTACTGGATCACACAGGGTCAAGTCTATTGCCGAATGATTACTGTTAGTAGGGTTGAATCTAGAGATTTTTCCTGTATTGAGCATCGTCAGATTAGAGAGGTTGATGAAATTCCCAAGGATGCTACCTCTGGAATTGGTAGTAGTGCAGCCCCAGCTAGTGCTATGGCAATTGAAATCACTCAGTATGATGAAAGGTTTTGGAATTTGACTTGCTAGATTATCTAGAGCTGCTAAAGAAATTTGTGTGTTTTCTGGTATTTAAATATTACATACACTAATCTTCTTCCAAAGCGTGATTGATACAGCTACGGCTTCGAAATCTGTATTTAGTGAAATTTCTTCCATCTGTAAAGAATCTTTGATGTATATTGTGACACCCCCACTGGCTCTACCAGCCTCTGTCCTGTTTCGATTAACGGAATTATATTTTTTTAGCGAGTAAGTGCGATCATTTCGGAAATTTGTTTCTTGTAGACATATGACAGCAGGATCGTGTTCATTTATCAGAAGTTGAAGCATCTGGAGGTGGGGGAATAACCCGTTAATATTCCATTGTAAAATGAAAGCGTATGGTGTAAATGTGGTGATGGTAGGAGTAGTTGGTCAGTAGGTTTCCTGGGAACATTCGCTCTCGTTTTCGGATAATGTAACATTGGATGTTGTTTCAAGTTATAAGTCAAGCTGTCGTAATATCTTCTTCTTTATTTTAGTGATTCTAGCTTCAATGCTCCTTTCTGTAAGTGAGGGGTAGATCTTTGTGAGAATACCGAGAAGCTCATGGATA